ATATGGTATATATATATATATATATATATATATATAGACACACACACGTTTTTTTTAGGTTTAAAAAATTGAGAGGTCACGAACCCTTGGGACCTGGGTCCTCGATGACGGGCGGCTCTTTTGGGGGGTCGTGCATGCTGCAGTCAGTTCCTGCCCATGTAGCATCACAGGTGCAGGCTGCTTCATTATTGCACACCTGAAAGAGTGGGACAAAAACTCATGTGTGATCATGTGTAACATAGTGATGATAAAGGTAAGCCTGTAAGCCTCAGCTTAATATTTACAGAATAGCCAGTTTAACTAAAAATTATTTCTACATTTTCATTTTACAGTTTGTACATGTGCTGAAAAATCATTTTATAAAAAAAATGTGAATTTAATTGGAAATGTTTCTCTTCAGGTTTTATGAATACAGTAATGTTCAATAATATTTTATAATATCACAATTACAATTTATGATTGATAAGATTTTTTTACAATATAATAAAATTGGTTTAAAATACACATACTATTGTTCAAAGTTTGGTTTTGGTTTTAATGTTTTGAAAAAAAAAAATGTTCACAAAGGCTGCACTTATCTGATCAAAATAAAGTAAAAACAGCAATATTGTGAAATCATTTTAGAGTGTAAAATAACTGCTCTATTTAAAAAATGTTAAAAATTATAACATATTATACGTTTTTTTTATAATGCATTATGCATTCATTATAATGCCTTAAGAATACCCTTATAATGTATTATAAATATGGGCTTCATAGAAAGTGTTACCATATCTTTTTTATATTTTTTTAATAAAATTGATTACTTTATTACATGATGATTTGGAGCTCAAAAACCATTTATTATTATTAATGTTGAAAGCAGTTGTGCTTAATATAGTAGTGGAAACTGATACTTTTTTACAGGATTTTAAAGGATGAATAGAATGTTCAAAACAACACCATTTATTTAATAATTCCAGCAGTTTTTCACCAATTTCAATACCCACTCTTCAAAACTCAGCCTTCCTAAGACATCTCAAAAAACAACTTGTCTGCAAATCCCAAAACACAAAATGAGCCACAGTCAGACAGTGTGTCTGATTGATTGGCTAGTTTACTGACCTGCAATGTGTGCTGTCCTACAGCAGATTTAAGCACAATTAAAACAAAAATCGACCCACTTATAGATATTGGATACCCATGACAATGTGTTATTTTCAATTGTTATGGAATAGATTGTCATTCCTCTGGATATAAATGGAATGCAGGGGCGGAATTCAATCCCTGACGTTAAAAGTCTGGATTGATGTTGTAAGTGGATTTGAGTGGATTTCTGGCTTTGGTGGGTTATTTTCAAGGCTGACTGTGGTGTGAGATTCATCTAAACAGCAGAGAGTGTCAGATGGTGCTCACTCACGCCGTGAGAAGAGCAGACTCGGCCACCTGGGCCAGACGGACAGGCTGTGAGGTTCAGGGAGGAGATAGGTAGACATTTCCGTTCAAGGCACATCATAGAGGGGCCACACGGCGTACCATCTTCCACATACCCTAGATCAGTGTCATCATCCAACAGCACGTGTCCCCCACTACGGTAAAAGAAAGAAGTATCTCAAGAGTTTTGTTAAAGTATAATGGGAGAATATTTGCAGAGATTCAGGAACAGACCTGCAATCCACCAGTCGCCCCTGATGGTTAAATGTGGTGGGAGTGACGTCGCCTTTCAGGGTCCCGATCCTTGGGATTCTCCCAATGTTAGTGCACAGCAGGTACCCGCAGAACACATCACTGTAAATCCACGGGATTTGGAAAGGATTAGAGATGGTTATGTGATCATGTCTAGACTGTAACCTTTGTTCTGCAAATTTCATGTGGGATTCACATATAGACTTTTACAGCATTTAGCAAGCATTCACTGCTTCTTCTAATTTCCTTACACCCACAGGGATCAAGTTGTTTCCAATATTATCAGTAACTTCTGATAAACACATCATGAGAGTACACCATGCCAATAAAACAAGGCTCTTAACACAAATAAATACCCATTCCAATCACTGGTAATGGTAAAGATAGGGTTTATCAACTGGAGGGTTTCCAAAATGGGGATTTGTGAACCCCTGGGGGTTCATAAGAGAATTGCAGGGGGTTGGGTTGATATAAAGCTATTAATTCAACCAATCTAATGTAAAATTCAAATAAATGGGGATGCATAATTAATCAAAATAAAATATTAATCAATAATAAAATAAGTATAGCCTGTTTATACAACTGTGTACAACTTTGATACAGTGCTTCATTGTCTCAAAGTGGCTCGGTTGATAGTGAATGCTGCTTCTCACAAACTCTATGTGATTTGCTGTGAGCTAAATATGAATTTTTGGAATGTAACATGCACTTGGTTCACTTTATTTACACATTTCTTGCAGAAAAAAAAAGCTCAAGGATTTGAAATGTTTAAAGTGTGAGAGTTTGAATGTTTGAAAGTTAATAACTTTAATACATAAATATTGGTATTAAATAACTTGTAGCGTAAAATAAAATCATTTTAAAATGATCAAATATTAATTTTTTTCATTTTTCAGAACCACTGTACATTAAAACAGCAATATGTAATAATAATAATTATTAGAAGAAGAAGAACCCTGAAAGAGACGTTGGTTTCAGCAGGAGAAATATTTCAGCAGTTTTTATATAAGATTTAATGTCACATCACTGCTAAAATTGCCATATTTGACAAAATATTTTTTGTATATCTAAATATTTCTAAAAGAAAAGAAAAAACTAAATATTGACTGAAAAAAAGTATTTTATCTGTTTACCTGCATGTCATTTTACCATTAACCAACATCAGAGAACCAGGAATATCTGAATATGTTTAACTTAAAATCTCAGGTAAAAATTTGTAAAAAACATTTACATCTAAGGGGTTTGATCAACCTAGCAATGGTCAAATCTCATTTGCACAAGAACATATGTTTCTATATTTCCTAACACAAAATGCACAGGAAATTAACCTTAACAAATGTAAATACCCTATGCATTTCACATGTATATTTTCCATGTCTTGGCATTAAAGTCTGCACAAATGACAGTACTTCACTTGTTATTTCATTTTACTTGTTGAGCAATGATGAAAGTTAAATTCCTCCATGCAAAGTCTGTAAATGATACTGTGATTAGGTTCAGCTTCTAAATGAATATTTAGTCGAGAAGCCCTAATTCTAACATTACTGTAACAGAACACATTAACATTACCTGGTGTACCTACAGAAAACTTAAAAAGACACAACGTTTTCAATGTTTTCCATCATTTTCGACAGTAAAGAAGCACATGCAAAACACATGCCCAAGACATTTGCAGAACAAGAGCTGCCATTTAGACTTGACCTGGTTTTGTACCATGTTAACGTTTCATAGTGCTGCATATTCCTGCTCTCCAAATAATTGGAGGAACTGACTCACTGTTTGCTGCAGGGCACCCATTTGTCTCCATCTCTCCCACAGTTCCCTTTTTCTGTCCCCTCTGTATTTAACTTCTCATAGCAGTGCTTCTCTGACCCTCCAGCCTCTGAGAGATAAGGAACAGACAGAAAGAATGAAGGGAGTGAGACAGAGAAAAGAAAAAGAGGAAACACAAGCAAGCATTTATTGAAAGACAGAGTGGGTGGATTGCAGTTATTTTAAGGTGCTTTCTTTGGCAAGAACAGTTGAAGCATTCTGAAGGCATCAGCATCACTCACTTGGACCCCAGATGTATTTGCACTGACTGTCCCGGGTCTTACATTCACCACTGTAACAGCGACCCTGGAATAGTAGTAAACAATTTGTAGAGGGTTTGATCAAAAATAGTTTAAATGTTGGTCTTCCATGTATTTAAATAGATTTATATATCTGACCTGGTTGAGCTGACAAGAGTAGCCATCTTGCTTATGAAGATTAGGGGGGCACTGTAAGAATAGCAGATGTTTACAAAGTATTTTTGATTCAATGATAAAAATTTATTAAAAAAACAGTATTTTTACCATTTAGATCAGCATTATCTATGTTTTAGTATTTTTTATGATATTTATTGAGATTTACTTTAGTTACTGGATACACTCTAAAAAATAAAAAGGGACAACCCCAGCTATTGGGTTGTTTTGAACCCAACCGCTGGGTCAAAACAACCCAATAGCTGGGTTTGTCCCTTTTTAACCCAGCGCTGGGTTATATTTAACCCAGCATATTTTAGAGTGTAGCAGCTGACAACTGGATTTTTGCTACTCAAGTTTTTAGAAGTGTTAAAACTGCAGGCAGGCTGTCATTTAGTGAATAACATGCCTTTTGTTATGGCAGATAGTGAAGCTTGGGGGTGTATTGTGCGAAACACCATCCTCCCTGTGATTGTCATGTAGAAACTGTAGCATTTTCTGCATAAATTAATTAGTGGCCCATTGTTCGAAAACGGTGCCAGTTGTGCCCTATTGTGCAGCCATAACTTACTACAAATATTATTTACAGGAAGAATCAGATACTGGACATTTCATCAAATTAACTCTCACTTCAATTTGTGTAATGCAAGGAAATAAAAAACAACAACATTTATTTAATTTGTAATGTTTGTTTTTCAAGGGAATGTCAGAAAATGTGCATATGAATCACCATTACATTTTAATGGGCTGTAAAATTTGGGATAATTCTACCCAAATTTTGCTTTTACTGAAGTGTACTTTCATTATGTGGTTCTGCGAAAATGCTTTTCTTTCTGTTCAACCCTTTATACCGTTATATTTCCCCTTTAAAAAATGTTTTAATGTTTCTAATGTCACATTTAAATTGTTGACATAAAAAAAGAAAAAACAGAATAGAATTGAAAGAAATAGCAAGACCTGTCCCGAGTCTCCTGAACAAGTCTCTGATATGTCACAATCATTTACAGCATATCGACAGCTGTATCCGCGTGGGTAGAACTGAAAAAGGTGCAGGGACAGGGATTGAGAGAAACAACTGTTCAGTGTATTATACAGATACTCAGTAGTTGAGGATGGGGGAAGTTATGATGAATAGTGAGGCAAAAGCAAAGTGTCTTACCAGGCATGTGCTGTTGCAGCAGGGGCCGTCACTGCAGTGCACTCCATTAGACAAAGAACATTTTTTACAGCAGTCTTTATAGCACTCCTGCATAACCAGATAAAATACGTGCACACAGACCAAAAAAGGTTAGCAAAATATTATGTTTTGCTGTTGTCTGTATGGAAGTATGACTTATGTAAAAAAAAATATGCTTACCATTCGGGCCCCACAGTCACACTCCTCTCCCACTTCTACGTAGCCATTCCCACATTCTGTAGCCTCAAAGAGCTGCCAACACAAAGCACAAGTATATCCAGGAACATATCCAGTCTAATATATGATGACTGCAAGTACTTGATTTTTGTTTGATGTCAATGACACTCCATCACAATACACGCGAGAACCGGTGACATTTGATGCCACTGACATCAAACCCGCTTCAACGTTTCAATTTCAGCTTTCTGTTGAAGACCCCTGTTTTTTGTGGCTTGCAGGTACATGAACAGAACAATCAGAAAGGCACGTAGATCCAAAAATAGATTAGTTGGAGTGTAAGATCCCAAAATAGCACAAAAACGCAAGAGGGTCTGGCTGCAGACTTGCACTTGCACTCTCAGACTTGCACTCTCAGTCTTGTCTCCATTGGCAACACGCACGATTTGTGTCGATTGCAAGTGACGACACAGTAGAGGTCTGCACGGGCTTTAAAGTGAAGCCCGAACCTGGCCCGTACCCGAGATCGTCTGACCCGACCCGACCCGACCCAAGTGGCACAGTTAAATTTAGAGCCCGAACCCGAAATCTTTTTTTTTTTCACACAACCAATAGCCAATTAAAAAAAATGCTGTATGCATGCAACGGTCAGTAAGCAAATATATGTAAAGAAACAGAATAATTAAGGGTTGGCCAGTTCACAAGGCAAAAGAAAAAACACTTACCAGTTATGAAAGTTTATGAACATCAGGTGCAGCGGTCACATAAATTCTGCCGAGTTTTTGAATGGTTGTAGCCTATAGCTACGACAAGACGATAATTCTTCCATCGTGCAAATTATGGTCATTTTCGTCAGTTAAGGCTCGTTAGCATTCGGCCTGCTTTAAATCAGACACAGAGATGCAGTGCGGTAAGATCGCATTTATTTGAATTAATTAGGCTAATTACATTATTTATTTGAATTAGCGCACGCGAGAGAGAGAGAGAGAGAGAGAGAGAGAGAGATGAAAGTTGCGTGTGTGAACCTGCGTCTGCACGTCTCTCTCTACAAGCAATGAGGCTTAGTTCCTTCAAAAACAGCGATTTTACCCCCTCATTGCAGAGAAATATAACGTTGCGAGTCAGTAGCCTGTCGAAGCTATTTTACTAATAAAAGTTACCGTGCTGTGTTGTCGTGTGCAATAATGTGTGCCCGTGCATCTATGAAAGCAGCGTAGCCTGCATATAGTTTTAGTTTAGCTATAAACCCGAGCCCGACCCAAACCCGAAGCTATTCATTAAACATTAACCCGAACCCGACCCGAAACCTGAAAGTATTTCAGGACCCGTCGGGTTCGGGTCGGATAGCAGACCTCTACGACGCAGGTAGCAAAGACTGCAAGTGACGTCACTTGCGGAAGTGCAAGTGTCTGAGAGTGCAAGTGCAAGTCTGCAGCCAGACCCTTCTCCAAAAACATAGCATACATTAATAAACAGAAGTGCACACCAAGAAAGCAGAATTTATAAGAAAGTAACATTTGTAAGACGTGACACACCCCATTGTGCCTTAAAGAAACAATCACCCAAAATTTAAAATTTGCTAAAAATTTACTCACCCTCAGGCCATCCAAGATTTAGACAGATTTGGAGAAATGTAGCATTACATCATTTGCTCACCAATGGATCCTCTGTAGTGAATGGGTGCCGTCAGAATAAGAGTTCAAACAGCAGATAAAAACATCACAATGATCCACAAGTACTCCACACACCTCCAGTCCATCAATTAACATCTTGTGAAATGAAATGCCACATGTTTGAATAAGAAACAAATCCAACATTTAGCCATTTTAACCATCACTTCTGGCCAAAATGAGTTTATAATCCATAATAATGCTTCCTCCAGTGAAAAAGTCCATCGCCTGTTGTCCTTTAACATCAACATTTACTGGCATATTTGTTTAGAACTCTTTTGTACTGTTTTTGCTTGTCAATGGGGTTTGATCTGTGCATATTTCTCTCCTGAGTCAGACGAGATGACTTTTTCAATGGTGAAAGCAATATTATGAATTTAAAAACATCTTAATTATAGATTTCTTTACTACAAACATGCAGCTTTTTGCTTAATTAATGGACTGAAGTCATATGAATTACTTGTAGATTACCTTAATGTTTTTAATCAGCTGTTTGGACTCTCATTCTGACGGCACCCATTCACTGCAAAGGCTTCAGAGCAAGTGATGTAATCCTAAATGTCTCCAAAAATGAAACAAGAAATTACCTACATCTTGGATGGCCTGACGGTGAGTACATTTTCATGAAAAAAACCTCCCACTTATTTACATTTGCATATTTGTGAAAAAAATTACGTTGTTATCCACTGCATGTGTATGCAGGTGACAATGTTGTGTTTTTCACATTTTGTTGTCTGTTGTCCACACTATTCTTCAAGCCTACCTTGTTAGGTTTGTTAAACAGACATGAGGCACCACCTCTTAGAAGAAAGTTCCTGTAGTCAGTAATGCTGCATTTGGAAAACCTGCGTGGGTGTTGCACTCTGCAGAGGAGAACAGAGAAAAACCAACCTACGCAAATCAAGAAATATGACAGGAAACTAGGAGCTAAAATGCTCGGCAGGTAGTCAGGAGAGGCTATAGAATAATGCGTGTGTTTAACGATACCCAGTGTCTTCCATTATACATCCCACCCATGATTCCATGCAGCCGCACTCCTCTGAGAGAACACAAGAGTGAGTGAGAAAGCCTGTGAGTTGACTTTAAATCCTTAACTCTTACAGTAAACAAGTAAGAAATCCAGTAGTTTGACAGCAGGAGGTGAAACAAACTTACTCCTCCTGATCACAGGATCCCATTGGATACCCAGATTCTGTGCTAAGCTCTGAGAGAGAGAGGCAGCCATTGTCCATGTGCTACCAAACTGAAAGGCAGGAACAGAAACAGCAGTGCATCACAGCAGAGGTAAGATGACACTTCATTTGTCATTTAGACTGACTGTAAGGTAAGGTTTTAAAGCAAATTGCCCAGTCTGTCTACCCAGAATGCTGCTTGTGTCAACCTTACCTCATTAACACCAATTCCTCTTTCTTTGGAACACACACCACCAATATATGCAACACCGCTCCGACCGTAATGAAACGTCACATTCCTGCAAGCAGAAAGAGATCTTTATCATTGTCACCAGTTCCCCTTTTTTTGTAACTGTATTACCAAACAATGGTATTCAGCTTTATTCTAAGGAAATTGTCATCTGTGCCAGATATTTATTTATTTTTTTTATTACTAATCGTAAGCTTAACACTAATGTACAATATTATTTTTAACACTGTCACAGTAAGTTTGAAATGTATTTATTTGTAATTTGAATAGGTCAATTCTGGCAGCCTTATAAATCACACACTGAAATAAAAATATATTAATTAATAAGCTATAATTCATATTTTACTTTAAAAACATGCTTTGTGTCAACCGTGTTACAGTTAAAATATTTTGCATTACATGTTATTAGACAATCATAATGGCTTGTTATCTAACATCATTCTACTGAACAGTGTTCCTGTGCTTTAATAAAAAATATCAATCACTATGATTTTTCCAAAGCAGATGCACTAATAATTTATATTTATATAGTGAAATTAAATATTTTATTTTCAGTAAAAGCAAAATTAATTTTTTTTATTTATTTAAATGTAACTCTGAAAATTTAATGTTGATGAATAAGGACATGCAAATTGGCTGATATTCCAGTCATAAAAACCGTAATGCTTTATTTTTAAAGTTGCATTATATTTTGCATTATACACTAATCAGTGTTAAATGACATATTGTGATTTAAGTCTGGCATTATCTTAGCACACACATTTCCTGAGAATGACCCACACATATTCAGAGTTCTAAAGTTTCCCAGTTACTCTTCTACACCCACAACTGAACCAAATCTTTTCTGTTACTGGGCAACATCTTTAACCACCAGGCTACCACAACTTACTCATTCAAGACTGCAACTCACGTGAAGAGGTGCACGGCATCAGCGTTGATGTTGATGTTCTGTTGTCTGTACTTTGAAAAATCTCTTAACATTTCCAGTGGTTTCACGCTCAGCGGAATCCGGTCCCTGTCAGTCCAAATCTCCACAGCTACTAATACCACACGCGTATTCAGCTGCTCCTTAAAAATCTAAAGAGAATATCATTTCAGTTTTAGATTAAGATGACTGTAAATTGGGCGACTATTAGGGAAATATTATTACAGCAATAAATATGTGAACATACAGCGTCTACAAAGTTGACCACTGATTTGGCAAAGTTCCTGGTATGCTTTTTACTCTTATGCCTTTTAAACTGCAATAACAAGAGATGAAAAAACAAATAAGTTTCAAGATGAACATTTTTGGTTTTGCAGTATGTGAATAATATGGAAACATTTGTATTCAGTGCCCTCTAGTGGATAATTTCAACAGTTCACTTACAACAATTTCAGTGCTTTATATTCAGAAATGTATAAAAATGATTAAAAGACATTTTTTTTTGACTAAGTTAATTTATGCAGGAAGCTTGTACAGTAATGTGTTGAGGATGAACCCACCGTGTTGTGGTCAGCGACAATCATTATTTCCAGATACTTTATTTCCTCAAAAATGTTACGTGGCATCTTGGAAAATAATAAAATCCAAATTATACATTCAGAAAGCATAACGTTTAAGCATGAGGTAGCATTTCTGCTAAAACAGCAGAGCACATGGAAAAGGTTGAGAGTCATTTCTTACAGCTCTTTTCCTCCTTCTCTTTAGCCAAGGCATGCTAGCAAGAATACGTTTCTCCTCTTCTTTTTCCTCAACTGGGTCATTAGCAGCTGAGGGAAACAGACATAAGGTAACCATGGAGATGAGGGTGTGGATAAAATATCTCGCCATATATCTATTACCAAGACCTTGGCACACTTACCCCAGTCACCTGGGACAGAGGTCACATGGAGCGACGATGTTCGGTGCAAAGTGTGGGGTCGCGCTTCTGTTTCCTAAAAGGTACAAATGTGGTGACATTTGCAGACGAGCTATCAAAACAAAAGGGATAAGCTATAATGATGTGATCTTACCACGGAGTGAGTCTGTTTCAGAGGCTCGATGAGATAGACAAAATGATCATCATCAAACATCCCACTGGAAGAGTGAAGCACAAGAAGGGGGTTGGGAAAAGAGAGTCAGGGATGTCAATCGGAAAAAGGATACAGGAACGAGGACAGATAAAACCACAATGAGTCAAATCACTTGTCAAGTGACAAGATGGAAACCACAAGCGTGCTTTTCTAGCCGAACAAACGCTCTGCTCTCTCCCTTGGCTGCTCTCTTTGACACTCAACCACACACTAACATGGTGACATTCAAATCTTTTCATGTGTACCAACTGCCATCTGGCCTCACAGTAGGTCTCCAGGTCCGATTTTCTCTCTTACGCTCTATTTATCTCACACATGCACATTTAAACAAAGCAAGGTTTCTTACTGAAGCCCGTTGCAGGTGGATAAAGCTACACGGGAGTCTTCTTTTCCTCTCACGTGGCCCTGGTAGTAGCAGTGTTCCCCACCCTAAACAAACGCACATTCATCACTGCTATGTAGTAGTTATTTTCAGGGGTCTGTTTGATATTTGCTGCTCTTTGTGTCTTACCCTGGAGAGAACGGGCTTGTCTTTCTCATAGTGGATTTCCATATAATCTGAAGAGAGCAGATCACTAAAATCAAAGTGAGAGACAGAATTCAAAGGGGCACTCTTGCATTAATTGCATTAATATCCAACAACACAACAATAAAGCTACAGCCCCGGATCCCATGCACCTATGTGCTTAAAAAGCACGCATTGGGAGAACACTGTCTTCTGTATCAGCTGTTCTAGTTATGGGACCTCCAGACTGTTAGTGGATCAGAAGCTGCATCAGTAATTCTGCCACATAGGTTTGTTAAAGCATAATATACATAAAATGCATTAAATATGTATTTGAAAGAGCAAATTGTGGGTATATGAATGTTGTTTGATAAATTTATATACAATAGCATCACTAGCTGAATTCACCATCAAATGTTCCAAACATTTTTTTGAAGAAAACAGAAAAAGAAAACTCCTTTAATGCCATGATCACACACACTTCTGTTGTTGCAGCTGATCCTATTTTTATAACTGTCACAAGCTGACAATTAATCAGCCTAAATACATATTAGCTTGCAAAAATGGACACATGCAAGCATATAATTCATCTCACAAAAAGAAAGAAGGCAGCAATAATAATTCTTATTTATGACTTAAATATTTTCTAAACGACTAAATGAAATGATGTGCATATTAAATGGGATAAAACATTGCATTTCATTTTATGGACTAAAAACCCTAAGACATTTTTAAAAAGATGTTCTTTCATGTTCCGCAGGAGAAATAAGTCTTATAGGTTTAGGATGATATAAGGGTGGATAAATTGTGAAAACAACTTCATTCAAATATTTCATTCTTTTAAACAGTTAAAATCTCTGGTATTGGCTATTCCTGGTTATATGACGTGGAATCTGATAACTATTTGTGATTCTAAATTTTGAAAGGAGCAGATGATACCTAGTATAAAAATCTGCTGCATTCTCATTTTAATTATGCAAGACTCGTTTGTGTAAAAGAATATATGCAGAAATAAATGAAGAATTCTTTCTGAGTTGCCAACCTGCCCCCCATCTTCTGTGACTTTCACAACTTTCAAAGAGCAGCTGAAGACACGCCTCTTCCGCAAGCACTTAAGCACTCCACAACCAAAGCACTTACTACAAAAAATACTTTCTCCTCTTGTCAGCATTTTACCTTCGCTCTAGCTTGTTTCCTAATCTAGCTTTCTGCTAAACCTGGTATTGCATACTAAGAATATTGTTGGCTATATGACAAATTGCTTGTGATATTTCTCATTAGAATTTGCTTGGGAGTCGTCACCGATAGCCTTGTGGGCAGCACGTCGCCATGTAGCGCCATTGCGCTTCGGGTGTCCCGTGTTCGAGTCCTGGCTCGTGGACCTTTCCCGATCCCATCCCCCTCTCTCTCCCACTTTGCTTCCTGTCTCACTACTATCCTATCAATGAAAGGCAAAAATGCCAAAAATAAATCTTTAAAAAATGAAAAAAAAAAAGAATTTGCTATGGATAAAAGCATCTGCTAAATAAATAAATGTAACAATGCATTTACAAGTAATAAAAAAATGACTTTTGAATGTTCTCTGAACCATCTGAAAATAATGAATGATAATGTTTAAAAATAGTTTGATGCACAACCGATTAAAATATTTCAGAAAAACGTCCCATTAGCGATGAATGTTGCTGTGCTAACGTTTTGAGATTATTGTTAAAGTCCAGATAACTTTGAACAAATATTATATTAATGATACTGGAAGAATGTTTGTTGATAACATCGAGAACCTTGCCAAAATGTTAGTCAAAGTTGTGAGAATGTTCTCTGTTAGCTGGGATGCCATAGGTTAATGCTGTGAATTAATGCAGTTTTAATACAGCACAGTTCAGACGATATTTAAACCACAATGTTCTTTGCTTTTCAACAAATACCTTGAATGTAAAGGTGCTGTCAGGGAGGAGATGACTGAATTTGTGTGATAAATGAAATTTAGCAAGATAAGAAATCCCCATGCACCTATTAATGCAATATATCTATTTTCTATTTAAAAAAACAACAACTAATCAACAGAGCAATTCTGTGTTTTTGGAACCAAATCTGTCTTCTACTACTCAGACACACAAACACTTACTTGTTCAAAGTAAGGTCCAAAGTGAATGTGGTGCCAAAGGCATCCAGCTGGAAACTTGCTTGGGCCAGGTGGACATCCTGCGGTCAGGGAGATAAACAGGGGCTCATTAACACTTCACAAAACAAACATATGTTACTATATCAAACCTGCCAGCAAAGCCTGTAAATGTTATTCAAAAAATCTTTTTGTGAAAATGTCATTTATGCAGACACATTAAATCACATTCACAGCGAGCAAATCTCTCTAAGTGCACCTATAGATAAAACATCTGCTCTAGAGCATCATAAATCACACAGCTGTGCTGTTAAACAGCAAAAATACTGCACTGGCAAAAGTAAACTGAAAGTGTGTACACAATGCAATCCCACAATGTCTGTTCAGTACAGAGAGTGGAGGGAGTGAAAACTGCTTCTTTTGCGAAAAGTGCATTAGATTTGTGAGGGAGGGCCAGTTAACCTGGATCACCTCTGAGAATCTGGACATACCGCACCATTCCCAGCAGCTTCTAGCGGTTTGAGTGTTGAAGACCTGAATTTGGTGGGGGCTAAAATATGCAGTGCTGGGGATCTTTACATTGCAAGCCCATGTCTCACCTGTCCATCACCGGCCTGGTTCCTCGCCCGAGTGTCCAGGTCATGATCCGTGCTCTCCGACTCCTCATTCAAGTAGTAGATGAGCCGGGAGGGATATGTGACCGTGACCTCGTGCTCTCCGGTTTTTCTTCCCGTGGAATTGCCCGGTGCTGCTGCTGTCGCTTCTCGCGGGGTCTCAGACACGTGCTGATCCCTGAGATCCTCATTCTGTACGGAGCTGGAAACTGCAGGACAGGAGGAAGCTGTTTACTGCTTTACAGTCTCCATCTCGGAGAGGGATCCCGTCAATTATATATGAACGTGTGCCAGCAATTGCAGCCCTGTGATGCTGCAGAGAAGCTGCGCACAGATCTCCCTTATGCAGATCTCAGTGTATCGAACGGAGGCACTACGGCTGATAATCAAATAAAACACTGAAATCTGATTACACATTCAAGACAAGAGGGCGAGACATGATACATGTAATGGCAGAAGAGAAATAAGAGACACTTATTGGCAAAACAACCATATCAGTTTTTTTTCTCAACTTTATCAGCTGCATCTTTGGACATCTGATATCTGAATTGTAAAAGCTTTAGATGTGCACCATGTCAGCTAATAATAATCTATTGTCATGGTAATCGAATTAAGATTCAGTGCGCCTCACTAAGTCCTTACCCTGTTCCCATACGGCACCACACTAATGGGGCGGTCAACACATACAGAGGCCTTCAAAAGCTTTTACCCCCCTCTGCATAGACTGACATGTATAAACGGCCGTAAACACAGGTAAGTAATGGAGGCGGCTCAATCAAAGCCTACACAGGGAACCTGCGTGTTTAGCTGGGATTTCCTACCGCAACAAAAGGCGCTGGAAAAGCACCTTGCACAAACACCAACGTAACGTATAGCAAATATCCAATAAAGACGTTGCATTATGTAAATAATAAAGTTACGCAAGATCAACATTGTACTCACCCGTTGAGGTTGAGGCGATAGAAGATGGCACGGAAATATATATGCTAGCGAGCAGACACAGATGGAATATCAGACGCATGATTCATATTTGAAGACTAAATAAAATGTCATTAGCGCATCAATTTACAGCGAGCGTCGCAGTCCATTATTATGAGAGCGATTTTGGTGCGTATCCCGCGGGAAGAGGGGGAAATCCTTCATGCAGCATCGGAGACTGAGGGGTGGGTAGCACGGTTGGGATGCTGAGGGGTGGCAGCTCGGATGGATAGAAGGCGGTGGCCAAGCAGCTCATATCGTACGGGAAGCCAATGCGATTGCGCAGTGCATCTTCTGCTGCGCTGACGCGTCAACCATCCTCACTTTGTACACTCGCCAACACACTCATCCTAGCTAACTGGAGATCTACCATTTGCTTCTCAATACATTAAGACAACTAGAATGAGTGTACACTAGCCCACACGCTCTGAAATAAAAGCTTTGGTCTTTTATAGGTAAATAAAGACATCGATTAGACAGTTAATTAAAAGTATATCTATGTCAAGCCACATGGACAGACCGACTAAATGTTTTTTACGAAATAATTAAGCTGACTTTTTTCAGTCACTATTTGCACACGTATTATATATACTTAAAAATCGATATTAGATAAGCTCATTGCTGCCTTACATTCAGATTTGTTCTTCTATCGCATTTATATATTTTTTCTTTCATTTTTTTCAACCCATACCACTTTAATTTTGCACTAAGGGATATAATCTGCTATTTACTGCTGCTTTTTACATTATTTGTATATCGACCCTAATACTTTTTTTGTATGTTTTGCTCTCTGTGAAGTGTTTTATCACGGGTTTATGGACATATGAAGTGTTGGCCTTGTGAAGACCTTTTATAGTCAGGCTTCCATGGTCACTCAGGAGACATTTGTATTTCATTTCTCCTCCAGCCACATAGGAGAGAAAAGTCAATGAACCAATCTCACTATATTTTTAAAAGCAAGGTTGTAGCTTCTGCCCACTTTCATGGAAGATCGCAAACCTTCACTATGGCTGCTGTGTTCTTTTAGATGCTTTGATCTCAACAACCATTAGACAAAGTGTTAGAGCAATAATATATGCACAAAAAATATGTACCTTCATCTCTGCAGTGGGAGCAAACATCAATCCACATTTAAACAGTGTAAAAGGATAAAGTAATTTGTATTGTGTGTTTGTGAGAGAGAATGAATGGCTGATTCCCAAAGAGCACATTTGCTCCTTGTGTAGGCTGTGTATTGCTGACTTGAGCAATTCTTGCATTTGTAGGTTTGCTATTTTTAAGACAATTTGACCCTCTGGGCCTCTTCGTTTAGGGGTCACACTTGGCTCCTTCGCGGTCAAAAGTGACCGAAGCCTTGAAATGTAACTTTTATTTTTCAGGAAAATCGGTGTAATACATTTTTGTTTAATAATATTTTTTTTATTATTATTTAGAATTTTGAGAGGATTTTATGATACTATGCAATATTTATACAGTTTTAATTAGCTATTTTTTTTCCATTAGAATTAATATATTTGTATTTATTTATTATTTTTCAATAAATGCAATATTTCATGTTAAAACAGTGAAAACATTTAAAATCCATTTTTTGAAGTGAGAATTGTGCCATCTGGTGGCATAAAAAAATAAAAACTTGTGCAATGTCATGTAAACTCCTGTATAGTTCCCTATACTAGGGGTGCAACGGTTCAACTTACTCACGGTTTGGTTTGTATCACGGTTTTAGAGTCACGGTTCGGTATGTGCTATGTTTAGGGACAATAACATTGCATATTTGACTGTATAAATTAAAGATTAATCCTTACAAGTTACAAAAGTTATTAAATCAAGAGCAGTGAGTGATTTCCCTGTTGTTGCGGTTTGAAGTGCTGTCACTTTAAGAGAACGCACTGATCCAGTGCACTGCTACTGTATGTTCAGCCGGCTATGTCTGCTAGGATACTCACCAAGATGGGCATTTTGACATAATTTTTGAGTGAATTTGTCCATTCAAGCACAATACTTCAAAGAGAGCTTAATATTTGCGCGCTTTCTGAGACTCGGGTTCACGCGCTTCGGATGAGCACACACACACACACACACAGATCTTCTCACTGCGCACTCGAGTTCGCGTCTTCTTGCTCTTTAATATTTAAACTGGCCAGGCTTAAATGAGTTTAGTTTAAACACAGATAGCAACGTGTGCTGTTCAGGTCTTACCTATGTTATCAACACGTGATGACGGCATAAATGACAGTTATTCCAACACACAGCACTCGCATTGAACAGAGTGAGTGACTGGTTTGTCCACCTATTGTATTTTTTTCTCTCATCGCTCTTGTTGTAATGTATTGGGAAGCTAGAATTTGTATCCATCAACAGAAACATGCATTAGCCGAACTCTAACAAACCATATTACAGACGCATTTTCAGATTTAAGTTGAACCGCGGTCCTAGTGCATGCCGAACCGTGTGTGGAGAACGGTACGGTTCGATTTTTTTTTGACCGAGAACCGTTGCACCCCTAATATATACAGAGGCCTTTGGATTCCCATTGTTTTTTAGACATAATTTCTTCATTTCCATTAGGTTTTACTTTTAGATATTTAGACATTCTAAAAGATTACTTTTTGTCAAGGTTTAGATATTTTTGGTTAGACAAATAACAGGTTTTGCATTATGATTTCAATCAATCATTGAATAGTCTCAAAATTTGCTCTGTTGCAGCCTTAACAGTTCATTTCTCTCTGTGTGTGTGTGTGTGTGTGTGTGTGTGTGTGTGCGCGCGCGCGTGGGTGTCTATTTTGCACTCTTGATATTTTAGAGAGTCACCCCTTGATTGCTGTGTACTTTTGTTCTGCACAGTGGCTGATTTGTAGTTCGTACCACCAAAAGATTCTCTTGAGTTTTTGTATTTTTTCGTATTTCCCATTCCCATTTCCCATGTCAGTCATTTTTGACCGCAAAGGAGCCAAGTGTGACTTTTTTTTTGACCCTTTAACATATCCGAATCATGTCCATGATTTTTTTGTGGGTTCACATAGCTAATGTGAGAAAAAAGTCACCAGTATGAGTGTCATCTCATTCCGATGAAGCCACGATTTTTAACATTTCGAAATATAAATTTTTGCGATCAAAAATAACCGAAGAGGCCCAGAGGGTTAATAGTGCCAAAACCCACTGTGAAAAACATGCTCTAATATATCATTACCAAGGACAAAAATATTCATTATAAATTTAATTTACAACCATCAACCTTTGAGAAAATACCCATTATAAACTTAAAAAATATACTCATTACAAGTTAAAAAATACATATGACAAATAAACAAACATATAGAGACAAAAATGAACTTCAACTAGAAACAGTCAGCTGAAATTCAACTGTGCAAAACTATACAGCATTTGAAAAACAGAAGACAGCTTATGTTCATGGCTGGTGTCTAATAACGTTCAGTCTGCTATATGTACAGTGGCGGTCCTCCCCCTCACTCTCTTCTGCTGACTGGCACTGAGCATTGTATTTATTTGTTTAGAAGTGGATGTAATAACCGGCTGAATTGCCAGTTTAGAGGAAGCCGATGATCTAAGTGAGGACCTAGCAGGGCTCTTGTTTCTGGGAGATGTCCTACATTCTGCAGATATACGGGAGCCAACAGTTTGCTGGAGATTGCCTTGTGATTTTGCTTTGCGCTGTGGTTTGGGTGACTTCCTTTCGGTCCTGTAACGGGGTACTGGTGGTCTCTTGGCTGGAGTCAAAGGTCCAGCCCTCCGTGAGCTACGTCTGATTGGTGTTTGGTCAACTGGCATTTGTTGGTGGTGTTCATCTTGTTCCAGTCCTCCAACCTTATAGGAACTGCCCGCACAAGAGTGAGAAAGTGCTTTGGAAGAATCATCCACATGGGTAGATGGCGTGAGATGTCCGAGGAGGAAACAACTGCTACTTGAGATAGAGGAGCGGGTGAATAAGGCTCTTCGGCTGCTAGACAAAGAGGAACCAGGTTCTGAGGGGCCACCGCTATCCAGAATGGAGTCTGAGGTGGAGGTACATAGATCAACCATGCTGCTCCTACCACGAGCCTTCCGAGAACCTCCTGATGACTGCCCCTGCCCCAGACCCTGCCTCTCCTTATTAATATCCGGGCTAAGGCTACGGAATAGCTGTCGGACGTGTGAAAGAGACTTGGAATTAGATGGTGAAGACATGCCTTTTGGTGGACTCTTCAAGATCCTATTGGTCAAAGGGTCATAGAACTTAAGAGGTGTCTTTTTGTATTTGTACTTCAGGCCAACATCGCTATCATATGACTTCCGCTTCCTCCCTGCTTTCTTAATAGGGGTAGGCTTGGAGATTATTTGACCCCCATCTGGGGAAGAAAGCACATAGACCACAGTTTTGGGCTGTAGAGGACTCATTATCTTGCAGTAAGAAGCTGGAAGCTTCAAAGCACAGAGTCTAGTTTTCATGTCAGGGGTCCTTTCAGGGCTGGGGCATTGCTGGGGCTTTTCACTGTGTGTTGAGGGGAATGTTACTTGTGACGATTTTCGCCGCACCACAGGGCAGATAAGAGGGATGGTCTGTGTACCGTGGCTTACCTTTACCACTTGGCAACGTGATGCAAGTCTGTACATTTTTTGCCTAGACTTTTTCAAAATAGCAGAATGTTTGGGGTCCTCTTCATTGTGATCCATGAGTGGCAAGATGTCTGTAGGCTCCCACCCAGCGTTATCGGTCTCCTCATTTTTGTCCTGCTTTTTTTTCTTTCTCCTTTTTTTACTGTGCTTCCCAAACCTAGCTAATGATTCGCTGTCAAAATAGCAACGGAACTGGCCTTGTTGGAATTCTTTTACTATGGAGTCTATCTTCATGTCATCTTCAAACATCACCTGTGTCAATGTTTTGCCAACAAAAGACTGTGGTATGTAGGGAAGATCAGGAAACACCTTCTCAGCAGAACTCTCCTTGTTTTCCTCAGGCGTTCCCACAGTGTTTAGGGCTGTGTCCAGCTGAGTCTGGTATCCTTGGTCTTCAAGGTTTATATGCACTTCCAGTAACTCAGCTAAATTTTTTTCTTCAGCCTTTGGCTTTCCCAACGCCATCTGTATTGCATTGTCCCATCCTTCACTGCCTTTGGATTGACTCATAGACTGATGACTCAGAACGAAGCTACCATCATCCTCCCGCTGATCGACACTGAGACTGTGGCCATAACAATATTTTTCAATAACCTCCTC